TATAATCAATGCTATTATTCCAATCTTAACGGTCATTATACCAACACTCCAGGTTTATATAATCGAGGAATCGTTTGGTATTTTTGGAAGAATGAGCGCAGCAGCCTCAAGTTCTCAGAGATGAAAATTCTCAGTAATGATTAAACACTGTTCTTTCTAAATACAAATTGTACATGTACAAGTATATGTATATCAGTGTATGTATATGTGTATTAGTGTGTCATCTTAAAACATTACTATTATAGTGGCTTTTTTATTTGGCCATTTGCTATTCAGCATGTTCGGGTTTCATTTGCTCAAATATTTGCTCTCCAGTCTCTTTAGTTTAATTCGTCTAAAATGACAGCTATACACTGTATTATGATATTCAATACACAGTGGTTATCTACTATTATCTATTAATTATCTACTCTTGCTCATACAGCATTTAATTAAATACTAGTAATTAAGAGATCTGTAACACCAAGAGTAGCACATATACAACATATCCATCACAATGAATGACTGGTAATCTCATTGATGCAGTAATTCGTACTATGCCCTACTTAAGGTAATATGGCTTGTCATGGAACTGTCAATTGTGTCATATGGCAGTGCATGTGTGCAATGTAGAGTAAGTCAAAAATAAAACTACAAATACATTCTAACCTTCGTTTTGATTATTCCATTAATTGCAACTTCGTCAACTGTCAAGTGTCAAATTAGAGGTCAAAGTTCAATCATTGCTCCTCAATGTGTCGTCTTGTGAGAGGCATGCCTGTTCCGCTGACTTTTTAAATGAAGCTCTACAGGATGATAAATTTAAGAGAGAGAAAGAGCACGGAGTGGAGAGAAGAGGTACATAACTGACTGTGGTTATTCAACTTTTACACAGTTTTTACTATTAAATTAATCGTAAAGAATTCATACTTCAAACCAGCTAGTAGTATAGCTCCAATCTCGTCCCAATCGCCTCTAGAGAGAGAAAGAGTTTGAAATTTCCCACCATTTTATTAAAACCACGCCCTGTTTTAAAGCCCCGCCTCCAGTTAGCCATACACGTGGAAACACGTGGCTCAAAAATAGTAAATTTGAAATAATTATTTTGGATAAAATGAAATACAATCGTTAAATGTTATACAAGGTTAAAGTTTCAAAGTGTTCACAAAAGCCAGAGCTCAAATTTACTGCTCCTCTTCTTCTTTCTTTTCCACTTTTTCAAGACCAGGCTGGTCCTCAGCACTTGTAGCTGATGTCTCCATGTCTTCTGTAGGCTGTAAATGAGAAAATAAAATAAAAAGATATTCTAGCTTTTTACCTTTTGCTGCTCAGTGTTTTTAGGAGGACAGCATCCATTAGCTCCTCCACCAGTTGATGGGCCTCCTGGGCAGCATCCAAATCCAAAAGGTCCTCCAAATGGTCCCCCACCAAAGCGACCAGGATTGGTCCAAAACTTAAAATCAAAAGGTCCTAATTGACCTTGACCACCCCAAGAACCGCTGGGATTGGGACGGAAAAATGGCCACCCTCCTGCCCCTCCTCCACAGAAAGCTGGACGATCAATTGTGAACATGTCGTGGTCGGTATGAAGTCCCTTTCCCTCACAATCCTCGCAAAGATCATAGTCAGGACATATGCAGCATTTGAAACGCTTGCCATATATAGAGAAGCTGCAGCCATCGCAGATCACCCCAGGATGGTAAGGACCTCTTTTGTTTGTTGCACCATCTTTCTTGGTTGGCTCATCAGTAGATGGGCTACTGTTCTCCTTTGGAGGGTCTTCCTTTCCCTCGTCTTTCTTCTCAGGATCAGGAGGTGGGGCACTTTGCTGCTGCTGCTGTTGTTGTTGTTGTTGAAGGAAATTGACAACGTCATGAAAGAAATTTGGAGCTGGTCCCCTCCTATTC